GAAATGCCTTCACCAATGGAAAGCTACATTATCAGCATAGGCTTCTACCGCGATAACCAACATTACGCGGGCGAAGTCGCGGGCAAGAGCTAGGACATAATATTTAAAACTTAAGTTATTATAACAGCACTATCGAAAATAATTGTACTGTTGTGTCTAAAAATATTTCAACTATAAATGTTAATGGATTTGTGTAAGTAAGGCTTCGTCTAGAAATAGGTGTGATTTTGGAGACAGTGAGATTTAAATTGTATGGATTCCGCATATTCGAATAGCCGTTTAATTGTGCTTCTGCGGGTAGAAAATTTATTTGCAAACCTCAAATTCGACTCAAACTAAACGATATCAATAAAAGTGATCTGGAACAGAGAGTATAATTTTTTTAAGAAGTAAAACTAGCTAAAAGTAAATAAAATAGTAAAATGAAGTTTAACGCGAAATTCAGGACTAAATTTGTTATGAGCCGAAACTTCTTTAAAAATATACACCCTGTGGGATGTAATAATAATATCGAATATTTTTTTACTTCAAACATCTCACGCACCACAGTCTGGTCCCTAGGCAGAGCCTGTATTATGGTTACCAATCTGCTGATAAACATATTCATATATTTATAAATACATACATATAATAGATAAATTACACCTAGACACAGAACAAATGATCGTGATCATCACACAGTATTTGTCCTGGGTGGGAAACAACTCGCCACCTTAGCAATCAGGATCAATAACCACTAGACTAACAGGCCCGCCGAATTAGTGGCGATGATTTTAAGACAATTTTATCTTTGTATTTAAATATTATATCTTACACGGAGTATTCTTAATCCTACTTAGATTTAACCTTCCTGTCATTCAAGTTAACGAACCTCGATTAAGTGACATGGGACACTTGATTACACGGGTAGCAAAGCAGTGGACTCACCATTGAAACGAGTGTGTTTGATACCCACAATACTTAACCATTTGTGTGATGTTAAGTTATACTAATTAAGTGAAGTCTCCTACACTATTTAATACTGTGTACGCAAAGATGATATTCGTCTCTTAAGCGGCGTGGCATCAACCATATATGATCATTAGATACTATTCATTATTATTATCAACTATTTACTTATCAGGATGCCTATAAACTAATTCTATGAATATGCTTAGTCATGTAAATGAAACAGTTGCACAAAGCTTCAGACTCAGTTGCAATATAATACATTGGTTTAACCAATTTAAACGTGCTTGAAGGAATAACGCGCAACTAGTCAAATATGAAGCACCAACGTTGAACGAGAAGTTCAAGGTTTAACCATCGAGTGCGCTTTCTCGTAACCTTTTACTTACGTAATAAACTCTTAAATGTTCAAAGAATATATCACAACAATTGCCGTCACACGATACAATAAGCAGATGGCAGACAAGGCTCGCTACCGCCGCCTTATTTTTGACATGATCATAACGAAACTTTCCTTTGTACTGTTTTTTATTGTTGAACGCTCATTCTCAACGCGGAAAAATGGTTACACTTCTATCTTTTCTCTTGAAACAAAATTGATCGTTAACGAAAATATTCGTAGACATAACAATAAAGGAAATTTAAAAACTTGGTTAATTAAAACATTTACAGTAATATCTCCCTTAATTAGAAATGTCTCGAAATAAAGGTTTTTCAAATTAAATCCTAACTAGATCGTTAAATAACATTTCAAAGTTCTGATGAAAAACAAGCACAAGCGAAAGGTCAGTAGAATTAAAGTACGAGCTCGAGGCTCAGCGTTGAAAACTACTAAGCCACTTGCAGCATTTTGTTAAAATTTTTAGGCAAAGACTTTGAGAATTTGCAATTTTTGGGATCCTTAAGTCTTTTAATTAAATACCAACGTCTCACGACCAATTTATTCTAACGCCGTTGCGAGTCTGTGGCTGACTTAATTTTGTTTGGGGGCTAAATCCATCCGTTTCAGTGGGCCACGAGTTGACACACATCGACGACTGAACGCCTCTTGCGGTTCCGTCGTAATCTTGGTGTCTCTTTGTTTTAATCCACTTTAGGTTTGGAATGCGAAGATTTTCTGTTTATAATGTCTATTTTGTGAATTACTCAGACGACGTTACTAAAAAGGCACTTAATGTTCCATAGTCTGCTATTCATAAGCTGTCTAATAAATAACGGCTGTGCCTAGGACGAAATGTTTCTTTATAGTGATTACAATGGCAATCTTAAGTGCCTATCTGCATTATTCCGTTATTAAAACCTGTCGTGACTACCGCTCATATTAAGTAAACCGTTTTACTTCCTAGTTTTCAGTCTACAAGGCGCCCTACTTAGGAAATATTTTAATGATAAGAAATTACCTAGTAAACGACTTGCTTACGGCGAAACGGTGTATTAAAAAAATAAAAGTCATACAGGCAATGTTAAATTATGTTCGTTACATTTTAAAACATGAATTTGTGTTTAGCATTCCCACAAAACCAATGGGTTAATTTACATTGGTTTAAAATGTTTGACTGAAATGTATTACAACAACCAAGAGTAAAAGATACTATATAATAAAAGTATTAGATTTGATTGTAAGATAGTTTGTACCAACTAGGAAACTGAACCAACACAAAATGACTCTTTGTCAATTTCAATTTTGGTCTGTCAAATTTAGTTACCTCCGACAGTATTACAAGTTAGCAAACTTTAAGCTTTATAGGTCAATGGAGGACTTTAGAAGTACGCGCCATGATGGTCATTTCAAAGTAATTTCGTACATAAATAATAGAACAGTCTCTTAAAACGAAACGATAGCAGAAACTGGCAAGCGGTTAAAGTTTACAATACCTAGCAAAACATAAGAAAACTTTCAAAGTACAGAATAGTAAGTACTACATATTCTCATTAAGAATTTAACGAAAGGCGGAAACCAATATTATCGTATCTTCTCGCTAATATAAAAGTCTTTGTATTTAGATAGTACCTTGTTTAAAACATAGATTGCTCTAAATTATGCCTGTAGCAACTTTTTACTATTCCATCATTCGCCATTCTTAGGGAGGTTTTTAAAAGGCCATTCTTAAAAGGTATGATCCCTTAAATTGGAAAGTGAACTGCTTGTTATAGTTCTTCTAAATGTTTACAGTATTCTGTGCACTGGGCATTTTTATTATAAGAAAGTTAACGCGTGCGTAAACTAACCCTTTAGAAGCCGAGTTGACATACGCTAGACAAAAAGCAGAGCTGTAATGTTTTAGCCATTGTAGATATCAACGGCTCTGCCTGTTTAGTAATGTTTTAAACTCTGTTCAGTATTTTATTAGACCAAATAGTTAGCTATTTGGTCATCACCGTGTACAATAGAATCAATACATGTACTATTAAGATTTTAAATATTTGTAATTATTTAATAATTTAGTTTTTCTTTTTCTAATGTAGCATATGCATACTGCACCAGTTTAGAACACTACAAGTATTATAACTGTGTTCTTACAAATAAATAAACAATATTTTTTTAAGACAACTGCCGCACTAGGAACATAGTCCTGTGTCGGAGGGACTGTACAAACATTAATCGAATGGACACAAAAACGACCCAGACTTAAAACAACAACTTGTCGATCAGGCAAAGTGTTGTCTCATGTGGGGATCGAATCCACAACACTCAGCGCAGTAGGAAGCGACGAGGAGACAGCCTAACCCACTACGCCATCCGTGCCGTGATATTTTCCTATCCACTACCACGATGAGCGGTGAAATCTGCTTTCGTAGTGAATTTTGTCACCACATTTCATAGAAACTGCTTTGCAAAAATTCTGTACAGTTCAGTGTAAAAATTGGTGAAAAATTAGAAGTAAGGCTAATGAGAGTATACCAGGACAAAACGAATATAAAAGGACACCTCACATATAGGGGAAGAAACGAAACAAATTTATAAGGAGAACATAAGGGATTTAAACAATAAATGCATACTGTATTCTGTGTTTCAGAATAAATGTATCAGGAAGTTATCTACAAATTCTTACTGAATTATGCTTGATCATAGTGCAGTTTTTTTTTGCTACTGCAACTAAGTAATTTTTAATTTAAATAAGCATTTTTATTCAAACGCGAACGGTGATTTAAAAAAAAACTTCAAAATCGATAAAGCATTTTACTTTATTTTTGTAATTTACGTACCGATTATTCCTACTGAGAAAATTAAGCGTAAATATTTTTTAAACTGGAAACGTGGAAAAACTGTGATGTAAATTTCGGGAAAAATCTAATTTGTGAACTGTCAAGGGGCATTAATTAGGGTAAGAAGTTAAAAAAGGCTTTTAAAAAGTTCAAGAGTCTGCTTCGAATATAAATACGGCTAAACGAACTGTGCAAATATTACTTTCGCCTGCTTGAGATATAAATTATTAAGTAGAGTTATAGTACATAATAGTATGTGGTAGTTATCGCTTAAAATGTAGTAGTTAAAAGCAATAATCATACAATTTACGGTATCTTTGATTAAGGAGTCAAAGATACCATAAATTTATGAAAGTTTTTTTACACTTCAAAACTCTTTACCGCTTTGTACCACGAAAAATAATATTAAGTTTATCGACTAAAATAAGTCACGTTAGCTTTCTAGTAACTTTAATATAACAGTTTCGTAAACACGCTTTCGTGTTCAAACTTTGAGTTACGTTTTTAAGGTCGACCAGCACTTGCGTACTATAGGGTTAAAAGACCGCGGGCGCGGTCCGGATTACCCCATTAAAAAGAAAGCCACTTCTAACCTCGCTAGCACATTCAATACAATAAGCTATTTATTTCCACCGCGGCATAAACACATATGTAGTACTCCCCATATTTGCATGCCATGGCAATGATAAACACGGTGTGATCGATATTTAAGTACGTTTGTTTTTCTCGCGTGTCAAAGGAGAAGAGGTTCGTTTTCGGAGAGTTTTTACTTTCCCGACTTACGCAACGGGATGGGCACGTGGACGACCTCCGTGGCACAACAGCGGTCACTCGGTTGATTCGATATGAGGGTTGTCAACGACGATAACCGCGAGCCGTGCAACACTCGTATTATTAGAGGTCGTAGAAAAGGCAACGGGCGAGTCGCCGCCGGGTCGAGCGCCCGCGAATGTGAAGTGCGGCGGGCAACGCGGCCGGAGCGGGACTGGGCCGACGAGGGCCGCGCCTGCGTGCGCTACACCGTCTCCTCCCCCAATTGATGTAATATTTATCTTGGATTAAGAACTAGATAAGGAGATGTGGCGAGACATGTTCCGAAACTGCTCCGAGGCACAATTCTCAACTCCATGGAAAATACAATTTAAAAAAAGTCAAAGCGCTACATTTCTTCTTAACATTTAATGGCGTTAGGACTGGTCTTAGGTAATGTATTTAATAGAAACAACAATTGGCTCATTTGATTAGCGGCTCGCGGAGGCTCGCTCGGATCAATCCGTTGCGGTCCGTGAGTCGGTCGGGTTCGTACACGCCCGGCGGCGCTCGGCCGCGTTCGCGGTGAGCGTGACGTCATCGCGGGACGCACGCGCGGCGACAGGTGGGCGCAATGCGCCGCACCTATCATATGATTATGACGTTTCCTATTGGATTTGGTACCGGGACGTTTGGCTGGAAATTGGTTGCGGCAAGTTTGCACACAACGACCGCTGCTTGGGGGTTGGGTGAGCAATTGATGCTATAAAAGTTTTCAATTACTTTTCAATTTCTACCTTGTTTACAATGTAAAAAATATTATAAATTATTAAGTTTATTTTGCAGTATCCCAACCGTCGATTTTATGATATGAGACTTATATCATAAAATCGTGAGACTTATATGATAAAAATAAGTTGTTTGATGACTTGTAAACCAATATATGGTATAAGAGATAGCAGTTTAAATTGTACAACTAACGGTTGGTCACTTCACTTTGGTTTATTTTCTTAGTTTTTTTGCAAATCGCATACCTACAAAACAACTTTATTTTGTAACCGTGAAGGCTGTCTTATCTTCTTGTCTTCTTATCGTGAAAGCTATTAAACCGACTAGGAGCACACACTATTCTTTTCCATAAAATATAAATCTATACTAATATTATAAAGCTGAAGAGTTTGTTTGTTTGTTTGTTTGTTTGTTTGTTTGAACGCGCTAATCTCAGGAACTACTGGTCCGATTCGAAAAATTATTTCAGTGTTAGATAGCCCATTTATCGAGGAAGGCTATAGGCTATAAATCATCACGCTAAGACCAATAGGAGCGGAGCACCAATGAAGAATGTTTCAAAAACCGAGAAAATTTATTACTATTGAGAGACGCAGACGAAGTTGCGCGGGTCAGCTAGTGGGATATATATGTTACCTAATTAGTTTACTAACAACAATATTTCAGATCTTTGTTTCCCAAATAAATAGCCATTGCATAGCATAGCAGCAACAAATTAATGCATGTGTATGTATATACATACATATAAATAAAACTCAGAAAGCACTAATTTTGGATAGTTTTTCTTGTCTGTCTCACATGGTCGCGATTGGATGAGAAATATCTAATATAAAAGCGATGATTAGGTGATTCGCTCACTACATTTTGCGGTAGGAAACCTACGTTGCAAGTCTTGTAATTTTGTTGTAAGTTATATTTGTCTTTTTTATGGTAACAATTCAATAGTTGATTTACAATACTTACATTTTTAATACGTACCTAGCTATAATTCACGCTTTTGTTTTTATCTCAACGAAGTTACAAGGGTCTGAATGGCTTCGAGAATAGGATGGTATGGATTATTTTATTTTTTTGCTTGACTTGGCACGGTTAGTATAATGAAATATAGATGTTAAAGTTACTACTAAGTACGACCCGTCACGTTACCAGCAATACAGTTGTCATAGGTGTGAAATATGCACTTGTTAATAAAAAAAAACGGGTGTTAATTAGAAATAATGCAAGTCGTCCAGATAAACTGTTCATGCTGAAGCGAATATTACAAAACTAATCAAAAGAGATAAGAGTCTCAAAACAGGATTACTCGAGGAAAGCCTCTCGGAAGGTTGTTGTGCACGTTTAAGTCCCCCAGCGCCGCAAGCAAAAAAAGTACAAAAATATAATTTGGCAAGTATCAAATTGTTCCATATATTGTCACAATTTTATACTTGTCAAATTGTAGGTATTTTTATATATATGTTGTTGTTTTTTTCTAGTATAATGATGCCATAAAAACCTTACTTTTAAATATTTCATAACTACAAACGACAGTTTACGAAATATCTCAATTTAAGCACCGAGACAACTACAAACTATTCCGTATATAATCAAAACATATTAAACTTGTTCGTATTAAAACGACCATTTTGATGAACATAATAATGTTGACGGCTGCCTTAAGCTCATAAAAAGTTACCCACCGTTACGTAATAACCGGGCCGATAACACAAACTTTCATAGACAACAACCGGGTCCCAAAAAGGAGATTGGAAAGTTTAAATTTAAAACCGGTGGTTTAATTTTAAGTAAGGGTTTTAACGCCAGCCTGATGTGTATCTTTGTAAATAGACTGACGCCACAACGTGAATTTTGAAGCTTACAGGCAGTGGACGTGGCTGTACTCATTTTGGATAATGAACATTTATACATAGTTCATTTTAAAATTATATGTTGCGCATGTATTCACAAAAATCATACGAGTTAAGGTAAGGTAAGGTTTTCTCATCGGTTCGGAAAGTAATTAGGTGTCCTCGATATACTTATTGGTTTAAGACGTACAAACATACATACGTCCCTAAATGAGCATACTAATAGGTATATTTCTAAATACATACACATTATAGATAAATTACACCCAGATAGAGAACAAATGATCGTGCTTATAACACAATATTTGTCCTGGGTGGGAACTAAACCTCCTCATTAGTATTAATAATATGTGTGAGATATAATATAGTTGGTTTGAAACAACCAACTTAACATTTTATATACATACATTTATAGAGTATAGTGTACTACATTGTCTCTTATTTCCACTCAACACTTCAACGAACTAATATCAAACACGAAAAGCACGCAAAAAAGGCAGTGACGTATTAAGAGGTTTAATAACGGCAAGCGATGAAGGTTTTGCGAATTTGTTTTTTGTTTGTACCGTCGCTTTAGCTAACGCCGGCGTGATTAAACACAGCCTGTTGCTCGATTTAAATGTACACCAATTTGATTTATGACATGAACGATTGCATTATTTTCGTATTTAAGACTCGGCAATTTCGCTTCAATAATTTTAATCGTTTCATTTTTTATTACGATTTTTACGTTACTTTACACCTTTTGCGCGCAGAATCATTTTAATTTAGAAATTGTATCTCGACTTCAACGAATCGTACATAACGGATAGGATTTACTCGTTTATTTAACATCTAAAAAGTTAATTTTAACTTCGTTTATTATTGCTGTTAATCTTCCTAACTAAACAAAGTCCGTGTGGTGACGGATTGAGAATACGAAGAGTCACGACTCCTACTCATCCAGTAGATACCTTAAGAGCCGAATAAGAAAGCAAACAACGCAGGACAACAACACCGCAAAGAGAAGGAAAACTAGAAAGAAACCTTATAGCAACTCGTCTGGCCAGCGTGGCATAGGAGGCCTAAACCTCCTTTCTAAGTAGAGACTTATATCTAGCAGTGGACCATTACAGGCTGATGAAACTTCCTTACAAACATCCAACAATAAAGTAATTGTAATTATGTATACATTAATGTAATTGGTATTACATACCTTTTGAATTGTCTGACATTACTTGACGTTTAAACTATTCAAATGTGACAAGTGAGTTTAGAGTACTTCAACAAATAATCAAACAAATAGCTCTTCAGCTATATGGGTCGAAGTATTATGTTACTAAAACAAAGTGCATTAATTAATAAGATAAAATTTCATTAATCGCTAAGATTACTTTTTACAAATTTATTTAAAGATGCTACGTCACAAAATCATATTTGTTAAGGATTTATCTTTATTGGAGGTAACTTAATGTTTGAAGACGCTGCCTGAAACCAGTAAACATACATAGAAAAATGGCAGTATAGAAAAAAACAAATGTATTAAAAATTAAACTCGACAAATATCCATTGAATCATTATCTTATATATAAAATTCTCGTGTCACAATGTTAGTTACCATACTCCTTCGAAACGACTGGACCGATTTTTATGAAATTTTGTGTGCACATCGGGTAGGTCTGAGAATCACCAACATCTATTTTTCATACCCCTAAATGACAAGGGTGGGTGACAAGGGACTCCTAATTTTTTTTTCATTATTTCCTAGAAATAATGTATCTAGCAAAACAACGTTTGCCGGGTCAGCTAGTAGTTATATACATACCTTGCAAATAAACAATTTATTGCAAGTGAATTTATAAAAGATTCTTGTATACGTGCTACGAATGCTACGTGTCATGACTACGTGCTACGATCGTAGCGCAACTACGCAGGGTAGTTACAAGTGTGCGGTCTACGAGTAAATATATTCAGCTTGCATACGTTTGCAGCAACAAACATGAAATTTGCTCCAACAAAAGTTAAATAAAATTTGAATTAAAGATTAATCTTTAATTCCTACACTTTGAATATCATGTATTCTTTACACAACACAGCTAAAAGTACCATAAGAAGAGAGCTAGGTATTTCTTAATCCATTTAGTCAAAAATATGGATTTGTAAGTAAAAAACGTCTCTTGAATCATAAACGCTTGCCACTCAGATTTCGCCAGCCCACACGAAACTAATATCAAATTACAATATTGCAGTCAGATTGTGGATGTAATTACAAAACAATTGCGGTTAGTGGCGCATTTGCAGGCGGCGTTTGAAGGCACCACTTATTTGCTTAAATTGTTAAGCTCTTTTAAGCATATCACTTTACGCTCGCCGCTTCAGAAGCCGAGCAACGTGAGCGTATCAGTTGTGTCGGCCATAGGCTATTGTAATCCTATTATGAATATCATAATAATATTTGTCAGTGAATGAGTATTCACTGCAACGAGCGTTGATCATTTAATTAAATTGTTTCAATTTAACATTATTCCGTCTGTTAGGTCTGACAGTATTATACATAATTATTGCGTTCATTGATTAAGTGATTGGCAGTATATTGTACCAATATATTTTGATGTTGATGTTAAGACGTCGTGTTCTGTGACGGCGACCGGATGGCGTAGTAGTTTGTGTAACAGACTGCTATTCCACAGGTCGCGCGTTCGATTCCCGCTCAAGTCTAACATTTGTGTGCATGAACATTTAATGTTTGATTTGGTCTGGGTGTTTCTATGTATAATATGTATGTGTGTATACTTTTTTGTTGTAAATACATTTTTACAAAAAAAGTATATATGTATTTATATCAGTAGCCATAGTACAAGCTCTACTTAGTTTGGGACTAGATGGCGTTGTGTGAATGTGGTAGAATATTATTATTATAAAAGGGATCAACATACATTTGTCTATAGTTTCGATTAGCCCTCTTAGTTCAGAGAGGTCATCTTACCAGTATACATTTAAAGACATACGCATATAAATTGATGCCAGAACTATAAAGCCAAGCTGTATTATGTCGGTTTTTCTCCCGAACAGATCGACTGTGAAAACTTTGAATACCAGTTAACACAGTCACATATTTAAGAGCGATTGGCCCCTTTA